AAAAACTAGAATGAATATTGGACTTATGTTCATCAGGACGCCACAAACAAGATTCAAAATTGATAAAAACATTGCTCAACATCTCCTGCATGTGAAAATAGACAACGGTTTGCTAACAACTTTGGTATATCAACTAATAAACTTCTCCAGGGCGCTGCTGTAGCTCACCTGGTTGAGCTGGCGTCCCATGTACAGGGGCTACAGTCCCTGATGCAGTGGTTGTGAGTTCAAGACCCTTTGCTGCAAGTTTCTCCCCCACTTCCCTGCTTCCCTGTCTCTTTCTTGACTGCACTATTGAAAAAAGGTCAAAAAATAACTTAAAAAAAAAAAAAAAAGTCTTCTCCAAAGAAGCCAAAAGAAATTAGTGAATGCAAATTCAAACCAGAGCTGTTGTTTCAGTATAAGCTATTATCATCAATGTTACCATAACAATGCTGCAGAGCTTCATCCTGAATATTCATATTAGTTAAGTTGATATTAGTTATTAGTTACCTGAAGGTCTCAGCTACACTGATACATTATAATGAATAACACTGTCTCTTCTCAGCTTTAAATTGTAGACCATCATCTATACACCGCTTAATCCTCACTAGGGTCATGGGGGGCTGGAGTCTATCCCAGCTGACTTAGGGTGAAGGCAGGTTCACCTGGACAGGTAACCAGTCTATCACAGGGCCACACTTAGAGACAGACAACCAAGCACACTCACATTCACACCTACGGACAATTTAGAATCACCAATTAACCTCAGCATGTTTTTGGACTGTGGGAGTAAACCGAAGAACCCGGAGAGAACCCACGCTGCACGGGGAGAACATGGAGACTCCACGCAGGAAGATCCCGGGTGTCCTCACCGAGACGTGAACCGGCGACCTTCTTGCTGCGAGGCAACAGTGCTAACGACTGAGCCACCCTGCAGCCCTTTAATATGTAATATTACATATCTATCTATATAGAATAATTATTTAATATTATTTTTGTAGCGTTTTATTCCCAAATATGTCAATTATTGAGATAAAATTGCATTATAAAGAACCCCTATATGTCAACTTGTTAATCTAAATTTGTAACAGCAATCAGCCTTTTTAACTAGAAAGCACTTTTATATCTGTACATGTATAAATATTATGGACATATATTAAACAGTGACTTGACTTGATAACGTGAGTTTGTTTGTTTTTTTGTTGTTGTTTTTTTTTTACCTTTGTCACCGTAGCGTTGTCGTTGCTTCTACAATAGTTTCTCCTGTCAGACAATAAACCCATTAGCTCCACCTTCTTCCTCGTGCCTTTTTGCAAGTCAGTGATTTTAGTTTCTCTGTTTTTGTCCCCTTTTTTATACAGAAAAGACGTACTTCTGGAAGTTTTTGTTTTAACGTGTCTTTCTCTTTGTCCTATAGAGATGATGCAAAAAACATTTACTTCTTGCAACTTGACATTTTTTGCCCACACATTATATTAATTACACAGATCAAGGTTAAAATCAGACTCTGAATGGAAGTGAAACTGATTAAATAAATAGTCATATTTTCAAATAAATGAATAATTATGTTTATCAATCTTGATTTAGATATCAGTCAAAATAATTGTGAATACTATTTTTGCCTTAATCGTCCAGCCCTACCTCCTTTTAACTATATCAATAATGAGCATATGTAGAACTGAATTTGCACATTAGGCTCTCTCCTCTGGTGGATGATGAACTGCAGCAGGACTGTTGTATTGGCCTGCATCACACTGCAAAGATAGATCTAATGATGGAGGAGTGTGTTGCTGTCCACACACTTCGATTAAACATGACTGGTGCAGTGGATATCTCAGCAGCAGAGCAAAACTTGGAGAAGAAATAAACAACAACAACAACGTATCAGCAAGAATACAATTGTCACCGTGTCTACTGCACAGCTCTGGTCTGCACTGAACATCTATTGTTAATAGTCTGCTGGATGCTGCAGCCTCTTTCTGTCTGTCTCTAAAATGTTGCTTCGCTTCACAAATAAATTACTCTGCCAGCAACGAAAATGAAACAAAAAATTAAAAGCCGCTTCTCAAAAAATAATGTTTTATGACAGAATAATCAAGGACCACAGAAACATTTCTGCTCCTCTTTGACACAACAACAAAGCTGCTGTTGCTCACTGTCAAATCACCTTTTCAGTGGTTCTTGTTTCAGAACAGCACACCTGGAACGCTTTATTCTTTTAGTTTTCTGTCTAAATTAGAAACACAAACAGGGAAATGACCGGAAAATTGGGAAACTTCAGAAAACAAAATGAAGTCACGGTTTTACCAGCTGGTGTACAGCGACGGCAGGAGTGGCATTTAAGTCTGCATCTGTTCGCACTTTGCTTCGACAGCACACCTCAGTAAACCAACACTCAACTGGATTTAAATATCTGCTGCTGACAACAGAAAAAGTATCTGATGTCCATATATATATTTCTACCATGTACAAGACTGCTCACAATGATGACTGGGTCACTTGACGGAAAATATAGGAACATATTAACTTTAAAAATCACTTTTCTTGCATGTTTTTTTTTAGTTGACAACAGCTACAGACATTCTTAAGTAACTGATCAAATCATCAGGATTCAATTCACTTTATTCCAATTTTATTTATGTGGTACAATTTACTACATATATCATCTTTCACCTTACAACGCACATGGTAAGATGAAGACCTCACGAACCGAAAACTCAACAAAAAGTTGCCTTTGGACTCCATCTGAGCAAGTGGTCAGCAATGGTGGAAAGGAACGAAATTTTAAAAAACCCTCATAGGAAGGATGCAATGGATGAAAGTCCTTGTAAGTTCCCACTCGTGGTATGAGTCCTGTGCATGTGATCTAAAAGTCTAATCAGTTTTCATGGCTTAAACACGCAAATTGTACCAAAATTCACATGTTCTGCTTTCTTCTATTGGAACAAGTTATTCCAGTCAAAACAAGTTGTCTTGTGTTCTTGCTGGTGTAAACTTCACTCCCCAGGCAGCATCACCAGCAGAGTATGTGTTTGTTATGAGTCTCAGAAAACCTATTGAAGATATACTTATGTGGTAAAATACGATCAGCATTGCTGAGGTAAACATGCTGCAAACATCAGCTTTAAAAAGCTTCAAAGTTTCAGGCTCAATATTTAACATAACCGACTGTTTTTGGGTGTTAAAAGAAAAAGGAAAAAAAATCGAATCTACAAGCTTTTTTAGAACAAACAGATTTTCTGAGTGTAGCCTCAAACATATAAGCGTGGCAGTTTGATCCCCAAACTGTCTGTTTTTCGTTAAAAACACCTCAACAGCATCACCAGGATGGCCGAGAGGTTAAGGCGTTGGACTTAAGATCCAATGGGCAAAAGCCCTCGTGGGTTCGAACCCCACTCCTGGTAACATAGCTGAAACTAATTATTTAAGTCCCATTTGGATATCTGTGCATTGCAAAACACTTCCTTTCCCTCCAACTGCTCGTGTGCATAAACATGACAACAGTAATGGATAAATCAGTACGACAGGGCAGGTAACAGCTGAACCTTGTCCAGCCTTGTTCATGAAATCACGGCATTACACTGCGTGGTGTTTTACTCCTTGTATAAAGGGGACACATGCTTGTGGTTTCAACTTTGACTCCTCATTTTAATCACAGCAAGAAACTCTGACTGTATACTACAGTCTGACTGATATATCGATCAGCCAGTACTGACATAGCACAGACATATCATTATCGGAGTACATGTTGGCCAACTTTTTTTGACAAAACATAATGTAGAAAAGATACTTGAGATAATTTAGAAATGGTACCATTGCATAGTTCGTCCATTAGAGCGGCTCTGACTCCTTTATTTATAATATTCTCAGCACTGTCTGCAGCAGAGTATGTATCCCGACAAAGGGCAGCACGGGGCCAAGCAGGGTCTTTGCAATAAGTTGCTCACTAGTTTGTGTAATACATTGGTAGAAGGTCAATTAAAATGACCTCAGAACTTTTCCTTTTCAACATGACTTTAACATACTGTATGTAGCCTTAGGGATATCTGAATTTTTTACTCCAAAAAAATCTGCATGGCCCCAAAAATCTAGTATTGCTCTTAATACACCAAACAACACACCACAGGCTCAATGTGTTCCATCTTGGCATTTAGTTAATCCAAGTGCAATTCAATCACAAAGACTCAAACAAATAATTACTGATTCAGTTTAGTTTCAAACGGCTGTTCTCTGTTCACCTCTTTATCTTGGCAAGGTTAGATTTTGACCAGGTGAGATTCACCAGGATGGGCCGAGACGTACTGGACACAAGTCCTCATGGGTTCAAGTCTCACTTCTGGAGGTGAATTTCAGCTGCAAGCAGCAAAGTGGAAATAACAGCACACCCTACAAAACCATTGTAAATGCTAATCAGTCAAAGCTCAAATGGACATTATTGGCAAGAGGTCTTATTATAGCCCTCGCAAATGTAAATATTGAAGCTCTTTGTGGGCCTCATGAAGCCAGACAAGCTCATAAACCCCCAGAATAAGAGACTCTGCTACAGCGCAGAAGAAACTAGAAAAGAAGAAAACAATACAGCAAGCAAAGAGGAGGCCTCAGAAAGAAGAGGAGGCTTCTAATGAAGAACATTCAGAAGAACCACCAGAACTACAACCAGAACTGACTGTTAGTCATCGTATCACCATGTCACCACCAACTGGAACCAGTGCTGATTGTTGTTTTTACCTCCTGACCAGGCAGCAACACCAGTGGATTTATTACTGCATCCTCAAAAATAGGTCCTGCTGGAAGCTTTCTCCGACATTTCAGACCGTTTGCATTTGGTCAGTATGATGTAACAAAGTGCTGATTTATTTCACCTCTGCAAACAAATGCTCTAATCACAACAAACAGAACCTTGACCAGACTTTCATTGTCTAAACAAAGCTGTATGGGCAGAATATTAGAAGAGGGCAACCTCACAGGTAATAGAACACCAACAGAAATGTCAACAAGTCTGTTGTGTAGAAACTGACCTGTCTATGATTCCACACATGTCTATCTGCAGGTTGCTGTAGCTTCCCAGCTGCTTTTGTTGCACCATGATCAGGTCCATGTTTTGGTTGTCCAGAGTCAGCAAACGCATGCAACCCTGGAAGACGTTGAAGGGGTTTCTGCACTCCTGACTGGTGTCTTCAGCAGGACAGCCTGAACAGAAGAGAATCAGTTAGAGGAGGGTGCACATGAAAGCTGCAATCCAATGAATAAAAATGGCAAAGAGATAAACTAAGAGATTTAGATCAGTGTTTCTTTACGCTAAGAGTTAAATTTGATGATGCAAATACTGAAAGAGGAACATACGAGGTGTGTCAGAAAAGTTTCAGGACTGCTTTCACAAACGATATCTTTCCAATCCAATCTACAAACTACAAGTTTCCCCTTTGAAGTAATCCCCCTGGAGTCTAACACACTTCCCCAGCCTTCTCTTCACACCGCCATGCACTCCTGGAAGGATTCTTCCGGGATCCTCCTCAGCTCCATCATCACAGCCATCTTGATGTCGTCCACGTCTTCAAAACGGGTCCCCTTGATGACCCCCTTGAGCTTGGGGAAGAGGAAACAATCCCACAGAGCCAGGTGGGGTGAGTAGGGAGGTTGCTCCAGCACGGCGATGTTCTTCTCATCCAGGAACTGTGGGATGTTCAGGGCATTGCGAACAGGCGTGTTGTCATGGTGACACAGCCACGACTTGTCCTGCCACAACTCTCGCCTCTTCTCATGCACTGCATGAAGGAAATGCTGCAGGATCTCTTTGTAGACGTTCTGGTTGATCGTCTGAAGGGGAAACTCCTAGGTGTAGGGTTTCTTTTTTTTAATCAAAACCTTATACCTATAATCAGAGTAGACAAAATGAACCTAATCACGCTATTCGGGAAAACTCCTAGTTTGTAGTTTGGGTTTGAAATATATCTTTTGTGACACCAATCCTGGAACTCTTCTGACACACCTCTTAGATATTCCTTTTATTGTACAATGGTGCAGACTGTGACTACAATCGGTTGACTACTTTGTGGGTGGAGAATGACAGTTTTAGGGAGAATGACAGGGTCTGAAAGTTAGAACAGACACAACTGACTGCTTCTACTCTTACCACCAAAGAAGAGTTGACTTTCTATAGTGACAGGAAACGACGGACTGGCCTGAGCGCTGCCTCCTTCCTCTTTATCCACAGCAACGGTCAGACGTCCTCTTCTGGAGTTCAGCTCCACCGAATGCCACTGGCCGTCATTCAGAGCAGCACCTGGCAACAAAACACACATTAAAACACAAATACTATGATGTGTTCATGGTTGCACATCAAGCCATTAGGACCTGCAGCAGATGTTGGAAAGATCTTTTTTTTTTTTCCCCTCCAAGGACGAAGCCAACATGGACACTCGTGGACTAATGACCAAATCAGATATCCCATCACACCACAGCCTGCTACACAAGCAACAAATTACTATCGTTCTCTTTCTCCACCGAAACAGCATTTAGAAGAATATCGTTGTGTTCAAATTGATTGCGAAAAACCAGCAGGAGCAGGAGAGTTTTCTTCTTTCTATATCCTCTGTGTGATTGACCTGTATCAAGTGCAGGCAGGACTGTGGATCCGTGTGCTGTTAGGAGTTCAGGGAATAGATCAATATCTCATTATCGCCTCTGTTTTTCTTACTGGCAGCACTTTGCTCGAGAGCACACCCTCAACATTTTACAGTGCCGTCTGCTGCTCAGTGGTCACAGCGGATGTGTGATGATCAAGGATGTGGCAATAAGGTTAACACGGCGGACAATAACATAAATATTGCATGAATATTGCACTTTGATGGTTCGAGAATCGGTCAGAGAGAGAAGTGCTTATGTGTCTCTGATGGTTCAAACTTCAGAACTAATTAATAGCCTTCACGAAATAGTCATTATCTTTTGTAAGTGGGTTGTTATGGTATTTTATTGCTTTCCCAAAACCAGTGGAATTAATTGAACAGTGCATTTATCTCCTCAAACCGAGTATTAACACGGAAACCCTATCTGGACTTCTGATCAATGGATCTTTGTGTTTAGAATGAATACAACAAAATATACCTCTTGTTATCTCGCAATTAGTGACTATTATCTGATCATGTTCTCGTCTGCAACACAACCTCGTCACTCCTTTGTTGTTCTGAACAGATCGAAACACCAAGTACCCCACCAGCTGACCACTGTAGTATTTACATACCGTTCCGTCCCGACTGTTTGATTTTCTGTATAAATGTCACATCCTGCCGAGCCCTGTGTTATCTTACCTTCCCAGACTCACTCTGTGTGCTTGTAAATTCACTGTACACCGATAAACACCCCACTAAAGCAAGCCTGGGAACATTACTTCAGTGATTTCTTCAACACTGGCAGACTTTCCACCAAGCAAAGTTCATCCCAGATCATGTGAAGCAGTGCTGCTGTATTTCTTGTTCCACTGCAGAGCTGACATTGGGCTCGTTCGAGATAAACCAGACCTGTGCAGATTTGATCACCAGCGCTAAAGCATGCTGGTTATATTTCTGTCCGACTTGACCCCAACGGGGCAACAGTAACTGGCTGCAGCCGCTCTCCAACTGTGCATGATGGGAAACACCTGAGCTAATATGTGTCTAGTTTTGGCTTGACAATAGGAAGTTTGATAGAAGCTTTTAATTTCAGTTGATTGAACTTTATTTGTCTAATTTTGAAGGTTCATTCCACATGTGGGGTTAATAGTCAGGGAGCATAAATGCATTTAGACGATACATCATCAACTGAATCCAACATGTCGTCATGACACTGAGCTGATTTAACTGTTGGAAGTATTCAGTAACATCAAAACATCTGGTAAGGGATGTGAGGATTGTTAAAATAACATTGGTTCACATGAAGTTAGAAATAAAAAAAACTGTTTTCCTGTTTTTCTTTCTACTATATTTGAGTATTTATCAGTGTTTTGAATCATTTTTGTACTTTGAGGTGGACAGCTTGTCATATTTATGTTCAGTAGTGAACTGATGTAAAGCTGTATCACATGAGATGCAAAATGGATGTTGAACCATGAACAGACATCACAAATCACCCGTATAGCATTTTAATAGGCTGTCCTGTCATAATTAAAACTACTGCACATTGTGAACAAGCTCATATGTGTGTTGGAAAACAGTTTTAATAAATCTGTGTTTTTCTGTAGCGTCCTTTTAAGTCCGCCTCCTGCTGCTGCTGCCTGCTTTCCTTTCAGCCCATCTCGAGTGAGCCTGCTGGTGCTGCTACCTGTAGCCTTAATGATGTTTGCTTAAGTTAACAGCAAAGGAGGAAGATGGAGCGCTTTGGAATCTGAGCACATCAGCCCCACAAGTTTAAAAGTTACCTGAGGTGCATGTACACCTTTGCCTTTCAACTCATGTTGACTTAATTAACTGAAGCTGATAAACTTTGCCAACAACAGAAACTGATGATAGAAATTAAAAACCTGGCAAAACTGCATTTGTCAGAAATCAATGACCCAAAGTCTACTATGGATTTTGAGTGGTAAATCAATTGTTTTCTATACCTGATTGAAGCAGGATGGAACTTAGCAGATGATCGACAATTAAGTATGTATATTAAGAAATATCTCATAGTCATTTCATATTTTTGATCAACATAATTTATGGTTTAGTTCACTCTAAAAGCCTGGAAT